TATATATGCCTGTCATCAGTTTTCAGGAAATTTGTGTCATCGCTATTTATGAGAATTCACACTTGTGAATTCGCACGGGCGTACGGTGCCGGCTGCGAAATTGATCCACAGTGGCAAGGACTTCATTCTCAATGGGTTCACCACAGCGGATCAAGCCAGCATTTACAAGGTTTTGGGCGAGCGATGGATGGATGTTGGAATGGTGGATTCAGTTGTGTTGGCGAGACACAACATGATGCTGTCTATCCTCTTTATTCAGCCGAGGAGTGCGATGCTGGAAACGGCAGACAAATTGGCGGCTGGTTATGACAAGGAGCCAGAAGAGGCTGAAGCTTTACTGCAGAACATACAAACCTATGGTGTATGGGCAGTGATGGCCTACCATCTTTTTAGACTGACGTATCAGCAGGTGCAGGAGGAGGCCGAGCTTACGACTGAGCAGATGTTTAGTTGGGAACAGCAAGGAGGTCAGCAGCCACAGATGGCAGATGCAGGGGGTAGTGACCATGTTTTGGTGGAACGGCTGGCTAAGGCGCTAGATGGGCTGATGAGACATTTAGCGAAGATGTGGATGTTGGCGGCTGGAGCCCCAATACAGAACTTTAAGGTGGTTGACGAGGCTGCGCAGATTATGCGAGCCCAGTTGTTAAAAGGAGCGACGCAGACTACGCGTGAGGGTGTCCTTAAAGGCCACATGTTAGAGTGATTTTTGAGCCTCCACGCGTCGTTCTTCATGGGGCTGATGCGTACTGAACCGCTGTATGGAAAGTCGGTGATGACAAATCTACGGGTGATCCATGACTCAATGGATGTTTTCATTCAGCAGCTTTCTGCAAAGAACGTGCGCTTAGGGGTTCATTTGCGTCACAACTACAAGTACACAGGTCTGGCGCAGGTGTTAGAGTACCTGCATCAGGAGCGCATTCATGCTAATGGGCCGGCTACGAAAGGAGCTCCGGCGGTACAGGAAGTGTCTCAGGGTGATCGCTATGCTATGGATGGCACTTTGGCGGCTCTTAGTGATCTGCGCGCGCAGATAAAGAACCAGAGTAAGAAGAACAAGGCATCGCAGAAGGATCTGCGAAAGCGGATTGACGAGAGTAGACCTCAAAACCCCCCGCGGAAGCGTACGCGATCTGAGGCCTCGGAGGACGAGGATGGGGTTGAGGTGTCAGGTGATGAACCTGGCGGGGCTTTCAAGGAGCGG